CCATAGAGACCCTCATGTTATAACTGTTTACGTACAGTATACATGCAAAAAAAGATAACCCGCCTAAAAGGGTGCCCCACGGAAAGCAGACAGGGTAGCTCGATTAGTACTCTGTCTTCAAAGAAAACACGTCAACTGGTTTTGTAAAGAAATATGAAAATTGACAGCCCCTAACCCCTCGAGCATTTTCGGACACTTGACGATCCGGTTTGGCTGTACCGTCTCGAACATATTTTTTTCAGATCCTGTGTTCTATTCCCTTCCTGCTCCTTATTGTTCATTTCGTTCCGCAGCCTCTGCTCTGATAGTCACTGTACGTAATTACGGCAAATAAGGCGTCACGTACAACTTTTAGACTGCCTAAATATCAATGGAGCAGTTTTCAACTGAGTGTCGAAAGGTCTCGAAAGTAATCAGGCAATTACTTTGGTTTTCGTTTTACCACGGTTTGAGATTGGCTGAGAAGTTTAATTGCTAAGTAATTGGTTTCGTTTTGGTTTTACGACACTCAATTGAAAACCGCTCTATATATGGCAGTCGGTGACCTTATTACATTAAGGACCAAAAGTTATTACGCTTAGGACCTTTATTACATTTAGGGAAATTTACTGCATTTGACACCCCAACACCGTCCACATTATTTATTTATTTACTTACACTTTTACACTTAAATTATTGATTAAAATCCTTTTAAACAAACAGCTATATAAAAAATAAGCATGCCCGCAGGAAGCAAAGGATAATCTAAGCGGGCATGCTTTAGCAATTACAGATTATCAAAAATATAAAGACTACATTAATTATGAACATAACGAGGGGAAAAAGACAATGATAAAATGGAAAAATAAATCAGGAAACCATTACATTGACCTATATTAATTATTATTTATTAGGGAACGGAACAGTTTAATTTTAGGATTTACCAGCCATTTACATTTAGTACAATATCGGAGAAATCTAGATAAGAATCCTGTAAACAAGACGGACTCTTGTTAATTAAAATCCCAAGATATTTAACATACTCTATGCTCTAGCGCAATGCTCTTATTTTACTCTTTATCAAATATCACGAGTTTAGGCAGGTATTTAAGTTTCATTTGAACTGGACAAAACAGGACAAAATTAGTTTTTTTGATATTCAGTGTCAATTTAGTAGCGATCAGCCAGTCGAAGAGTTTGTTTATTTCTTGATTCACGGTAATTTACAACGATTTGAAATTTTTATCAGCATAAAGGATATTCGTATCATAAGCGAAAAGGTAAAAAACTAAGCTAATATGCTTAATCAATTATTCATTGTGTTAACCCTCAACGAACTATTTGTGACAGTTAATTTTAATCATCTTAAACTTGATAATGCTGTCATGACGACTCCGAAACGTTATTGCATTTTATCGCTTATTTTTTACATGCTTATGTATTACCAAACCTTTGCTTATAAAGAATAATTATAGCAGCCTTATTAATGTGTCACTTACTTGAGGTGAGGGGAAATCCTCTACTAAAAGAGGACACCTACCTGAAAAAAAGGTCTATTTACAAATTTCATAAAATACTTAACAGTAGAAAAGATAATAAAGACGATCGCCAAATTTATGAACTAGTTGTTTTCACGAGCGGTTTCTCAGGTCGCTTAGCGAGTGAAAACCGGAAATCACGTGAAAACAGTTACTTTTCCAACTCGATTAAGCGACAGTATCATGAGTTGCGCATGTGCGAGCTTTCGATCAAGAATTTTCAATTTTAATTCCGTAACTTTTGGCTAATACTCGCTTAGATATGTGGGTCCAAAATTATGGAACAGGTTCCCCAGCGAATAAACTAGTCATATGGTTACTGAAGAACCAAACTAACCATTACAATTAAAGCAATTCTGACTTCGCTTTACCCAATTTTAATTCTGCAACTTTTGGCTAACACTCGCTTACTAGACCTTACTAGATATCTCTGTCCAAAATTATGGAACAGGCTCCCCAGCGAATGAAGGCGGACTACCTGTACATTAACACTTTCAAAGCGAACATACATATGATCAATCTGAAATTTCTACTGGATGAAGAATGCCGTTGTTTGTTTACAATAAAAACGTCCAGTGAAAACATTTACTTAGTGTAGTTAGATTGGTTTATCCTTTGCTAACAGTGATAACCGTCACCGTGCACTAATTGAACGTCCAAATTTTATTCTTGAACCACAGAAGGAAACAATTATTATTAGTAACAATATTTTTGTGAATTACTTTACTTTTCCTTTGGTCGTTTGTGAACAGGAGTTAAATAAAAAATTCTTCCTTTTGTGAATGCACATCTTTTTATATTCACAGATAAGTTACAACACAATATTGCTGAGCAAAGCCCAGAAGATGTGCATCTTGTTTCTCTACTTCTGTGACAAACCAAGCCCTGATGGATACAGTCTTATTATGGCAGTAAATAGGGATGAATTTTATTTCAGACCAACAGCAGATGCTAACTTCTGGGAGAAAATTCCCAACATACTCGCAGGTAAAACTCCTTAATGCATAATACGCGTTTATGGTTTTATATTAAAGTCATAAAATGGTTCGCGTCCACTCCATTTTAGCGGATTTATTATTATCATGATTTTGGACCTTGCTTACCTCAAACTCTCACTCTTTAGAACTCAAATCATGTGATATACTTATTTAGTTATCTAGTATCAACTATCTTAAGCCCTCTAAGAGTTGAAGAAAGTGGAGTTCAAATTGTATCAGTCCAATTTGTTGATGCATATGGTTTTGTATTTGTGTACAAAAAGCGCCCATGACTGAGCAGAAAGAGAGAAATCTCTGCCTTTGGAACTATCACCCCATACCTACGCAAGGAAAAACACACAGTCCAATTTGAATTTCTAGAGGCAGCAGTGCTATATGATTTACAAACTGAGCTTTTAACGAAATTTAGTTGATGTGAGAATTCCTTTTGATAGGAATGGATCTGAAGCAAGGAAAGGAAGGTGGAACATGGCTAGGAATGACCACTAGTGGAAAATTTGCAGCCATCACTTTCTACAGACAAGCACCTAAGTTCATAAATACTAATGCAATAGGAAGAGGACATCTGGTGCCAGGCTTTCTTCAAGGAGATGATAATGTTGAAAGATACCTTGAGTCTGTTAGCAGCCAATCTGACAAGTACAATGGATTTAATCTCTTGGTGGGAAATTTACTACAAACTGGTGAGACCAAGATTGGATGGTATTGCAACATTGAAGAGAAACAAGTCACCTTGTTGAAGCCTGGAATACATGTCTTATCAAATAAAGTGTTGAATTGTTCTTGGCCCAAGATGGCTTATGGAAGGGAACGATTTGCTGAAATATTAGAGGAAACCTCCACCAAACAAGAACTTGTTGACAAGCTTATGGGCCTTCTGAATGCACGGCAAAGGTTGGTATCTTCAAACTCACTTCATTTTTCCCTTGTAGCTCTGTTAGGCAGGATGAAAGTCTAACAAGGTGTCAAGCTTGGGACCCAGTTAGATGTGCATAAAGCTGTGTAGACATTTGATAAAGTTGAGTTAATGAGGACCTGGGCTGGTTATTTAATATAATAAATAAGTTATTATAATGACAAGGAGTATTAGTTCTCCATTAGAAGGTACTGAATGGAGTGATGCTTCCCATGCAATTATCTGGAAGTAGAGTGTGTGGGGGTGATAAGAGATGGGGGGGGNTAGGTGACTATCCTATGAAGGTTAGTTTTTGGAAATCTTCAATATAAGGCAGAAATCCGTGAAAAACGGTCATTGTACCGAAAACTTAGATTTCGTCTCGCGAGAATACGGAATCAGTTTACAGACTTTTTGGCTTCTCGCTACACACACGTTGGAATCGCTGTGAATCGTTCTCAGCTTTAGTTACATGAACTGGTTTTTCATCAGTCAAGATGTGTTATTATATTTTAATCTCCAGTTCATCATGAACAAATTGAGGCTATTGGATACACATTCTCCATTGCAGTAAAACGTTTTATTGATGATCCCAATCTAGCAAGTTAAAAAGCGAACCGGTCGTGCATCAATCTTTTGAAGGTCCCATCAACGCCGGAGAAATCTGAAAACGCAGCTTTTTTTCTACGGTTAAACTTACCGTCCACACTTATCCGTCACGAAAACGGAGCTTTTCGAAAGCGCTTTTCAAACCGGAGTAATTTAAAAAAATGGAGCTTTTCGAAAATGACGTTACGATAATCATGTGATTTCCCTACCCCAAATCAGTTTTGATTTAACAAATCAGTTTTAATCTTTAGTGCTTGCACTTTCATATTTACAGGCTAATTTTGCTGCTTTTGTTTTCAGACAATTCAGTTGTGGTGACGAGAAAAGTTTCTTTGGATCCCAAGATGAAGGTTGTAACATGAATTTGATCCGTGCAAGCCAAGCAATTTTTGTCAACTTTAAGGAAGTGAGATATGGAACAAGGTAGATATCAGGAAAATTTGCTCCCTAATGGTCAAGAGCCTAGGACACTTCTGCAGACAACCATTGCCCGGTGTCACAGTGATTTGGGTATCCCCGTGTTTTGTGTACCCCCGTGCCCAAATCCCTAGTGTTTTGGGTATCCCCACTTAGGATAACCAAAACACTGAAAGCGTTAAATACCACAGACTGAGGCTAGTGAAATCATCCATAATTCTGCTCAAAAACCATCTATCTTCTTACGAAGCTTTGCCTCAATAAATGAAAGCTTATTAATCTTGACATAGACACATAACGTCACTAAAAATAATCGCACTTTATAACAGATTGTCTGATCCGAGTCCGCAGTTATAACGAGATACAAAACTGGATTCACACGCCAAAGTTCCTTGTACGAACATGTGCTTGGTGCCTATCGATAACCCTTGAAATGCACGTTATTTTAAACAAGAAAGGCACATTCTAAACCTCGGATAGTTCGATAGTTATTCAATATGCAAGTGAACACACTGAGATACGGCCGTCACACAATATGCACACTGGTCTCAAGCTGTGACTGACCTCTGTGGACGTTGCCTGTCTGAAATAAACTTTGTCTTATACTTGTTTATTTATCGCTCTTTCTTTAACCACCCCTCCTATTAATTCCCTTTTCAATATGCTTGCTTGTTATCGTCTCCTTAATTCAGGTAGCCAAATCGACAAACAGGCAAACCAAACTTACAAAGAGGAAAGTCATTCCAATGAGGAAAGAAGTAGATCGAAATGCTGAAATGTAAGGGATACCCAAATCCCTAGTGATATGGGTATCCCCTTCTGGAGTGTTTTTTTGCTATGGTTTCTTGAATTCAGGGTAACCAAATCGACCGAAGATAAAAAAAGGAAAGCAAACTTACAAAGACGAAAGTCATTCCAATGAGGTAAGGACTAGAAATGCGAAAAGTAAAGGATACCCAAATCCCCAGTGATATGGGTATCCCCTTCCAGAGTGTTTGTTATCGTTTCTTTAATTCAGGGTAACCAAATCAACCGAAGATAAAAAAGCAAAGCAAACTTACAAAGACAAAAGTCATTCCAATGAGGAAAGGACTAGAAATGCTAAAATGTAAGGGATACACAAATCAATGATATGAGTATCCCTTACATTATAGCATTTCTAGACCTTTCCACATTGGAATGACTTTAGTCTTTGTAAGTTTGCTTTGCCTTTTAATCTTCGGTAGATTTGGCTACCCTGAATTAAAGAAATGCTAACAAACAAAGATACCGTTATTGGAAGGGGATACCCATATCACCAGGGATTTGGGTATCCCTTAATTTTTCGCATTTCTTGTCCTTTCCCCCCTTCAAAGCCTTTTGTCTTTGAAAGTTTGCTTTGCCTTTTAATCTTTGGTTGATTTGGCTACCCTGAATTGAAGAAATGATTGCAAGCCAACACTTTGGAAGGGGATGCCCAAATCACTAGGGATTTGGGTATCCTACTTTTAATTGTTACTCTTTGTCCAAAGATTTAAGCCTTGTCTGCTTTATTTATATTTATTTTGGATTTGTTTCTGAAGCAAAAAAACTCCTCTAATGACATAGAGAACTGTTCGCCGGCAAAATCTAATAGGAGAGATGGTCAAGGAAAGAGCGATAAATAAGAAGGTCTAAGACAAAGTTTATTTCAGACAGGCAACATACACAGAGGTCAGTCACAGCTTGAGACCAGTGTGCATATTGCGTGATGGCCGTATCTCTGTGTGTTCACTCGCGTATTGATTAAATTAAGTTGCCGAACTCTCCCAGGTTTAGAATGTGCCTTTCTTGTTTAAAATAACGTGCTTTTAAAGGGTTATCGACAGGCACCAAGGGCATGTTCATACAAGGATTTTTGGCGCGTGAATCCGGTTTTGTATGTCGTTGTAACTGCGGACTCGGATCAGACAGTCTGTTATGAATTGCGACTGTTTTCAGCGATGTATCGTCTTTATATCAAGCAAAATAGTGCTTTAATTTATTGAAACAAAGCTTCGCAAGAAGACAGTTGGGTTTTGAGCAGACTTATGGATGATTTCATTTTCATTTTTAAGCTTTCAGTGTTTTGGTTATCCCCAGTGGGGATACCCAAAACACTAGGGATTTGGGTACGGGGGTACCCAAAACTTGGGGATACCCAAATCACTGTGACACCGGAACCATTGTACATGCACAACTTTCAGGATAAAACTTAATTATGGCTTAGCTTCCACAGATCTCCAAATGCTTCCAATTAATAACTGTCTTACTACGTTGTAGGTTTAAATTTTTCAGTAATACAAAATTCAAAGCAATATTGGGTCAATAAAGGCATTCACAAGAGACTGTGATCTAGGTCATAGTCTCTTGGTATTCATCATTATTTGGGGGTAAATGCTTTACCCTCTGAAAAGAAAAACTATTGTTCTTAAAGTTACCCGTGCTAATACACATTGACATTTGAAAGCAGTTCATTTTTGTGTGAGATGTAACAAAGTTTTTTTTCAGATTCATAGGAACTAGCGGTCAGTTTTTCTTTATTTTTAGTCAGAGATGCAAAGATTTACCTTAGTGACAGTGCAAGATCAATTGTTATGTTATAGTACAGTTGTGACAAACAGCACTGTGGAAACCATGCCTGGTTGTTCTTCCATGACTAAGTTACTAATTACAAACATTTTGTTGACATTGAGTTACTCCTTGTGGAAACTGTTATTGAAAAGGGTACAGTCATTGTAGGAACTGGAATGCCAATAGTCAATAGTTGTAAATAGTCCTGGCTAAGCTTGTCTATTCCAGTCATATTACCCATTCTAACTTTTTTCTCAGAACAAACACAGTGGTGTTAGTTGATGGCAGTGATCATGCTACTTATGTAGAGAGGACCATGGAGGAGGGTGCTACCGACCCAGATGAAGCTCAGTGGAGACTGAACACATATGAGTTTGACATCATTCAGGAGACTGAGGACTGTTCAGGTCACAAATCACCCGTGAATCTTGTAAATAATGGAAGCAAAAATTGTGAAAGTGAAAGAACACTTGTACAGCCAGCTTAAAATAACTTAAGTTCTACCTTTGAGTAACAAACTATCAAAAGCTTCTAAAAACTGAATTACAGGTAATTGCAGGGACTATGGAGGGAGAGGAACCACTCTTTTGGTTAGGGGCAGTGGCCCCTAAAGCTTGCTTGCCTTGGCCAGATTTGCTTGCCCTACCACTTTATAATGTATGCGTCTAGTTGTGAAAGACGTAATGCTAATGCCACGTATTATTTCCAAACAAAGCTAAACATTGCAGATTATTATTCCGGCTGAGTTTGTGCTATAATATGCTGACTAGAGCCAATAAAATCAAGAATTAAGCACTTTGACTAACTTTCTGTGTGTTTAGAACAGCTACATATATTTCCAGATCTGTTAAGGAGGCTCGCGCCATTGTTCCTGTGCAGACTGCAGAGGGCACCCACACATCCGTTTAGAAGATAAATTTAACAAATTAACGCCAGTTTTTCATGCGTCTGTCCTGTCAAAGTAGCTGTGGATCCACAGACTACTTTGACGATGTTATGACGAAATTTCAGTAACAGGACAGACGCATGAAATTTGTTTTCTTCATTAGCAAATTGTCAAATTGGCCGCTCTCGCCCGTTGATGCATGGCATAAATTATAAATTCATGTGTTGCCGCTTATTGACAATGAAAATTAGCCAATGAGAGCGCGAGAATTTCTGCTTTTATCGTAAAAAGAGGATTAACCTTAGCAGTTTTTAAATGCGCGGTCTCCAGTGCGAGGTCTAGAACCGAAAATTATGGAAGTCGCTCAGAGCAAAATGGAAGCAAGCAAGTTAACAACACAAACTTCGGTTTTTTTGATAGTTAAGCTGACGTATATGCCGTTGCCATGGCAACATGAATAAATATAAACAGGCTTTTAAAATCGGTTTTGTTTATTTGCAGAAAATCTAGTCAGTAGATTTTCTTTATAATTTGCATGCAGGGGCGGGGCAGAAGACTCCTGAAATTTTCGTATAGGCATCATCCAACAAAAAATGACGTCACATC